CCCGCATGCGCCCGCCCGAATCCCGCACGCCTATTGGAGGCCATCCAGGAGTCGCGGTACAGAAGGGGACCCGAGGGCACCTGCCAATGGAAGCCGTACAAGGCCACTGGGATCACATAAGCCTCCGTCATGGGCAACATGCGTCTGGAGGCATGGACAGAGATTCTGAGATTGTGGGAGTGCTATTTTGTTAACTGTCTCCATCCCATCCCTTCACATCCGCTCAATTGTGCACGTGTCTTGTGCGCAGGCGGTAGAGTCCATGGCCAGCCTCCCAGAGCAAGGCCGCAACTCCCAAGCCTCAGGCTGCTTGGAGATGCGCAAAGGCAGCGAAGTGGATACTGAAGGCTGAGTGAGCACCACGGCAGCCTGTAAAAGGGATCTGCAAGCAATAGACGCTCAAAAATTTAAAGAAAGGATTTGTCCAAGCTTGGTGAGCACTGTGCTGCCGAGAAACCGGGAAGCCACATCTTGGCCCCTACGACCAGAATGAAAAGAAACAGCAAGTGACGCAGGAGGTACCTTCAGTCAGATCAGCCAATGGAGCTAGCACGCTGCACCTTTCATCGACGCAAGCAAAACGAAAGTGGCTGAAACTATTGTCGCAACAAACCGCTGGCGACCACACGTTGGCTGATACCCATCACCAGCCTGAACCGATTTGGCCCAACCAAAGCCGATACCCTGTAGGGTCTAGTGCTCATAGGGACAAGGGCCTGCCCGGCGCACAGTGACAGCGTCACCTCAGATGCTTTCAGCAGGGCTTGATAATGGAAGCAAGTCCAAGTCTCCCACTGCTTGCTGCCAGGTCTGTCTTGGCTGTGGGTGGAAGCCTGCGAGTGCAGAAATCAAGTGGACGAGGGTGACGCGACCAGCATTGAGCGCAGAGCTCTGTAAACAGTAACCTCTTCGATCCCAAGAATTCCCCTTGCCCCCACCCCGCCCACCCTGCTGCAGCGCATTGGGCTTCCCGGCCCGTCAGGAAAAGGCCACAGGATGCAGTGTCCTACCGGGATGGCAGAAGGTCAGTTTGCATGTGCAGCCGCGCCTGCCAACACAAAGAACTGTCAAATTATGTCTACTAACTGCGTATTCCCTGCAACACCCCTTGGCTTTGCATGCATTCGACTTGTTCTTCATGCTGTCGCTGGAACTCTCTCAATGAGAAACCTAGCGCTGCCTCCCAGAGTAGATTGGCATAGTGGCCAGCAGCAACTACCTCAGTCGAAGAGGCATAATTCGGGAACACACTCCTGAACTGAACAAAGAACTCGGTCTCAGGCAAAGATTGCCTGGTAGGATAGGCTCCCGTGGAAGAGCCAATCCTTCAGAACAGAAACCACAGGCGCTGCTTGACGCGATATTTGGTTGGGCGAGCGGCAGGAGAAAAAGTAGGGTTCCTTCTCAGCTGTTGCCCACCTTTCCCTATGGCCAGACAAGAAGGCAGTGCTGGCTTTTGGCTCGCAAACGTCAAGCCTCTGCGAAACCAAGATTCTTGCGGGTCGTCGGTGCTCGCTGAACTTCAAGTAGAACAGTAGAACCGTGGACTAGTCCATGACCCAAAGTGGCAATTTAAGGAGAGGTTCTTCGAAAGGTTCTGATGACCTTTCTGAGGGTAGGGACAGCCGTAAATGTCTCTCTTGGCAATTGCCTGTTTTCCAGCTGGCTTGTAAGAACTCTAACAGGTTCTACCAACCTCCGAATGGCCCTAGGCTTCACTGCTAAAGCGGGCCCTGCGCGCCCTGCCTGCCAGCTGCGAAGGGCGAGACCCATCTCTAAGAGCAAAGGCGCAGCCAGCAAGCACGCGGCCTAGCAGCAGCTCCCAAGGCCCAGCCGTTGGGCAAACTTGGATTGAATCAGACCGTGGCCACCTTTCGAGGGTTGGCACCTTTCGAGGAAACCCAAAGAGGCTTTGAGCAGTAGGTGTTGGAACATGATCGAGCAGGTTGGCCCGTCCCGGCCGCCGGCACCAACGCAGGTTGCCAGCTGGCCACAGCAACGAAACGGCAGTGGCAATACCAGCAGCAAGACACGATCAAGCGCGAACAACGGCAAGCCACGTCTCCACAAGACCGAAGACCTGCAAAAAGAATGTTGGCCATGGCAAACCGTGGTTCCAGAGCCTGGAAACAAAAAGGAAGCTACAAGAAGCCAATAGGTTGATTCGCTTTTCACCAGCGGAGATGGATAAGGCAATCTCCTTGATGGTTGTCTAATGAAAGCAGCATCTGGATCGAGAAGGGACGAGAGCTCCACCCCCAAACTTGGAAGAACTCCGGTGACAGGAGTTCCACCGCACTGGGCATCACATGCCCCTGAGCTCCTGCGCAGGCCATGACCTTTACCAAGCATTACCAAGCTGAGCTGCCGGGCGTATGCACAGCCCCGCGACCGCCTGTGGCAAGTGGGTGAGACATGGATGTGAAAGGCGATTTGGCCGTCTACTTGCCAAAAAAAGGGGTGGAGCATCGTCCAGGAGACTTCCCTGCCCCAGCATCACCATACCCAACTCACTCGATATGTCTAAGCTGACCCGACTGGACATGTTTCGCACTTCCTCAAAAGGAATCTGGGTTGTCTGCACCTCGCTTCTCCAGCATACACTTTTTCCAGGCTGAGGGTCCGGCAATAAGCGCTTCCTGCAGGTGAGTGCCGGCCGAGAGCCAACCCAAGGAATGCCTCCCTGCTTTCGGGAAATGAGTGTTGACAAGGGGTGCCGCAAATGTGCACATGTAGCCTGGACGAGGCAAGGGTCCTGTGAAGAAGGAGTTGCGAGTTTTCGTCGAGCATTGCGGCGTGCATCGCTGGCCTCCGGGGGTGAGGAACAATCAATGAATCGAGTCCGGCACCAGCCTAGCATGTGCTAGCTGCCAGGTATTCGGCATGCTCGAAAAAAGAGGATCTGGCCACGCAGCCCGCCTTCTAGTGTCTGCATCGATGATGAGCAGCACTTCTCGAAAAGTCCTGTCGACTTCTCGAGAATGCAAATCCAACTGGGGCACAAAGTGCCAAAAAAGACAGCTAGGGAGTCTCTCCTGTCAGTCCGGGTGGACTGTTCCAGTGTGGATTTCTCCTTCAGCATGCTGTCATATTGCTCCAGCGGCTCCTGCGCGCAATTGGAACTCTGGGCCACTTGTCATTCTGAAAATTGGGGGTGGAAGCCAGCCTTTCAAACCAACCATTCAGAGGGTCATCTTGAGGATGTCAGTTTCAAGGACCCAGGTAAGCCGACCCACACCTCCCACTAGCAGGCCTCCGCTGGCAGCAGGTGGTGCAGCACAAAGAAGGCCAGGAAGGAGCACCCGAACAAGATCCCCAGGACCCAATCTGCAATGCGGGGCGAATTCAAAATTGACTGCGAGCGGGGTGGAGGCTTTGTGCTCGTTTTATCTGGGTTGTCTTGCTGGAGCGGGCCCAAAGCCAGCACTGCAGATCAATACAAGGGCCTTGGAAGAGCTGGCCGTGTTCTGGCGACCAAAACCTTGTCAGCGGGCTTCACAATCTGCCGAGCCATGGAAAACCAACAAGGGACGTGGCCTGTGATGCCCCGAGGCCCCGGCATCATCTTCTCAACACGAGACTGTCTTTGAGCCCAGAAAAAGCCACCAGAACAGAAACATGGAATTGCAAAAACTTGTACCCCGTACCTGCCTTCAAGCGAGGTACGCAACCATCGCGAAGCAGTTATGCATTGTCTGTTGCCCGCAGAATGTCAAAGCACTCACAAACGGCTTTCCATGAGTGCCGAGCATCTCCAAACGGTTTCCGTGTCCATTCCCCCCGCCAGGTCTCTCGGATCGAAATCAACTGCAAACTCAGCGCGCGCACACACACACACACATTCACACAAGTTCGGCCTTAAAGATTGAGATCTTGCTCCTCCCTCTGTACCAGCCCGAGGCTTTACTTGCTGGCCCGTCGTGCCTGTTCGCACTTTCCACGGGCAGCTTCAAATTTGGCCCGACCACGCAATTTGTTACAACCCAGAGCATAGGACAACTCCTGCAAGCCGTGTCGACAGGTCCCTTCACTTTCCTCCCAGGAGTCGTCAGGTGAGGGAAAGTCAGAATGTGGCGAGCACGCAATCATGCAAATAGTGACAACTCAGGTCAAGCCATATCAAGCAATAGGCCAGACAACCTGCAAGAAAGCCAGGTCGTCGCAATAGATTGGACAGGGCTTCTTTAGCGTTCTCATTGATTTTTAAGCTTGCCGAATGACGATCCAGCTTCTGGTCTGGGCGAGGGGGGGAGTATGCGAAGTGCTTGCCAAGACCTTCCTCTGCCACCTTCTCATTCAACGCGTACCCTTGCTGCGTAAGAACTTCCTTTGCGTGCTGCTGAACAACGGGAAGCGCGAGCTTTCCTGCGAGGTCGATCAATGCTGCGAGGTGCGATGCCGAAAGGATCTGCGAGGCGCACGCAGCGCACACTTCCTTTCAACAACATCTCGACGGCGCTATTGCCAACGTGCTGCTTATAGTTTGTGCAAGCAATGCGGGAGGTGCCGAGTGCCCTGGACAGAGCTCGCATCCTGTTCGGACGTGACGTTGCAAATATCCCTTCCATCATCATGTCAGGAAGGGCTTCAGTTTCCTGCAACTCCATCCAGTACTGTCTCGTGCTACATTCAGACTTCTTCGGGAACTAATGAACCTGCTCGTGCAGAACGAACGTGAGAGGCGGGTGAACGAAAGCTAGCCTAGCCAGCCCAACGACTCTGTACGACTCGGTTGCTAAGTTCGGGAACTATTGAACCTGATGGTGCAGAACGGATCACGCATCGCCACCTGATGCATCTGTGAACATGTTGCCCCTGACAAATGCTTTCCTCGAAAAGAGTTTCTACCCCGATGGTTTCGTGCTCTGGCCCAGACATGCCGAGATCAATTCTATGTAAAATCCTTCTGCAAGCAGGCGGCAGGTGCCAGTGGCTCGGTCAGAGAATGCCAGTGATCCATTAATCATCGCACGCCGAAGCCGCAGTCGCAACACATCTTTGTGCCTGGCCATATCCTTTAACCACATGCACAGTGAAACCTGCTTCCTTAGGAAGCAGCGGTGAAGCCTACCACTCTGCTGAAGAGCCCGAAGAGAATAGAGACAACTTGCATAGGTTGGATGGACCGGCGGGCACATGACCTCAGTGAAATGTCAGCAGCATGGAGGCACCTCAGTCCTCAGAGTTGTACCTCGAAGCAACAAGGGCTTGTGAACAAAGCGGCTCTCCAAGCAATCAACGTGCCATTTGGCATCGTAGCTGTTGATAGTTTCTGCATGTAAGGTCCACGCATCAGCATCGGCAACGCGCATGCCATATCATGCCCAGGTGCTTTTAATGGATGTTTGGCCCTCTTGATCACACACGCACACACATCCCTGAACGCAAACCTGGAACACATCCGTGTGGGAAACCTGTCGTGGGCTACTCCAACCAGGCCTTCCCGGCTACCTTCCTGCATGATGAATGCAACTTCCATCCGAACGAATCCAAGGGAAAGGGGCCAGTGTGGGAAGGGCACTTTGCCAGCACCTCCTCGGGCATATCTTCAAAGTCCAGCAGCTCGCAGAAATCGTCGAAAGTCACGCTGCCCTTCGAATCCCGGATCGAGATACCGACTCGACGCTGCGATGTCGAAAAGTGGCAAAGGGAGGCGGCCAGCCAGAAGGAACTGCCAAAAGGAGAACTTGGAACCTGCCAGTGGTGGGGCCTCTCCGTAGAATGTATGGGATACACACCACAGACTTGAACTGTCCTTCCTTCCTGTACAAGACCAATTGCTGTGCTGGACATGGAGTTCCCAAGGCATGGGGGGCTGCTTGGTAGGCCAGTCGAACCCCCAATTGGCGCTCAATACGCGTTCCTTGCTTTCAACTAGACCCGGATGGTTCCATCTAGGGACCTACAGTAGCTTCCGCAAACAGCAAAAAAAACACTGGCCTTGTCGTTGACATCCACCAGGCTCCAGTAGCGGTCGAACTTCTTCTTGTCCAAATTCTGGACCAAGATCTGGGCCTTTCTATGGCTGCAACAACTTTCTAAACGGTCGAAAAACGTTCTGGTCAAACGTCCATGCTTGAAAGGCAAGCGACTGCACCTACTGGCCAGCAAAACTCTGTAGGAGATCCGGATGGCCCCCAAGCCCAAGTGGTTTGACTTGGCTTCCCGGCCAGCGTGTAAGCCTGATCTCGTGGGAAACTGGCGCAAGTTGTGGGGTACTCGTCCACCTGGCTGGGAAAATCGAGCATCGCTATACTTGACACGTGTCTTGTTCGGGAAGCACCCCCAAGACAACAAAGCTGGCTAGGGGAAAACAAAGGCCTTTCCCAGAATCAAGGCAGCTGGTTGGAAAGCCATCACTAGCCTCTGCCTTGCCTGTCCGACTTTTTTTGGACAGAGACCCCAAACGTCCAAAAATGATTCACCCAAAAAGCCATCGGATCCTACAAAAAGTCCTGTTACGGATGCGTTGATCAGGTTTCAGCTCCTGTTATTCTCTGACATTTGCCATGAAGAAATCGAGCTTTGTCCCTGTCATCCAGGCAATGAGGCAGCGCGACGTTGGTGTCTCGCAACGTTGCCAGACCCAGTTCTACCATGGCGCCCCTGGCCTGGTCAGGGCCCAACTCGAACTTGAAGCAGTCGTACACATACCTCCAGGCCGAATGTCTCATAGACGTCTCTGAATGTGGGCGGTGATTCGGCGCCTTTCTGCATCTGTCCGTGCGGATGTCTCCTACTGTCCGTGACTCCTTTGCAAAAGGTGAACCAGGGAGTCATGGTTTGGGGCCCTTTTGTGGACATCAAACCGGATGTTTGGTGGTGATGCTTCTTGTCCTCCAACTATTTGGCAGGGTGTTGAAGGCACCGCCTGGACCTGGCTGGGGGCCAGGCATGATGAGCTTGACGCTGACGTCCATGTCATCAGCCAGCTCCTGAGACGATACGTCACCTCCTGCACAACCTGCCCCACACACACACACACACACACAAACAAACACACACGCACGCACGCACGCGCGCGCCCGCGCGCGCACACACACACACAAAGGCCATCCTCCTGTCACCCTAGCGCAAACTCCATGAATTCAGCCGCCATGATCATGATCACTCTTCCTGTTTGCCAACTTCAGCAACAATTCAGTCAGCAGACTCTAGATGTCGGCGGGCCATCAAGGAGTTGAGTGTTGCCCCGTTGCTCGATAACCGGCTCAAGGTACCTTCTGAGCTGCTGAGACTTTTGCGATCCATAACACTTTGGTCGCTTGGAAGGGATAGAGTCTTCTACTTCTGCACGCTGCCAAATCCAGAACAGGCAAAGACCTCACACAAAAAAACAAAAACGAACAAACAAGTCAAAGCCATCTGAAAACCAAACAAACATCCGACTAAAGGACTTTTTGCGGCTCCGGCTAAGGCATCAGCCCAGCATGGGCAGTGGCTCAGCGCCGACGGCTGACGGTTTCCACAACTTGGTGTCTCTCCAATTGTTGGCGCCAACACGCGGACACATGCAGGCGGCTCTCCAATCGTCATTTTATTGAAAGAGGCCAAGCACGCCCTTTTATGTTTTTTGCCTTTTTATGCTGGATTCCGTATTTCATGAGGCTTTGTCCATTTGGAAGAAGCCGAGCTGGCCCGATGATACCAGTGCCACACCCCCTGCCCGTGGCATCATCAGAGCCATCACGAAACTTGAAATGGCCATTGCCATTTCACTACAAAATTGCAACAATGACAAGTGCCCAAGGCTTTCTCAACCCCCACAATAGTTTTAACTCATCCCTGGAACCTGAGGACAAAAATGCAATGAAAAAAGCAACATGGTCACCAGAATCGCATCGCTCGTCGCTTTTCTTTGCATCTTGACCAGGAGCAGCAAACAAGAACAAATTCAAGGAAAAAAGGGCAAGATGTTTTCTGGCAATCAAATCAGTCCCACTCGTTCCTGGAAACATGTAACTCCCCACCAGGTCAGGGAAGAAATTACCACCCTCTCAAAGACCTTTGGCACCCGGTTTTTGCCGACCTGCGAATTGTTTCCTGGACCCCAAATCGGCTGCCGCTAGCTCCTCGAAGGTCCTCTTCACCTTCTCTGCGCCACTCACCACCTCCACCTGGACGGCAAGCCCATGGCCTGCTCCCCGCAGGCCAAGAAATAACAAACAACCAAGAGACCAAACCAAGCGAAACCAAACCAAATCTGCTCAGGTGAGGTGCCAAAAAGGGCACTGGGAAGGGCTGTTAATCCTTTTGGCCCTTGGGGTGTCTCTGAGGGACTGGATCTCTGTTTGCCGGGCTGAAGCACCATCTTTTTGGTTTGTGCAAATCTCAAAACACGAGAGACGAGTTCTTTACATGGCGAAGTTGGCTGGATTTGGCAACCTGGATTCTAGATCACTCGTGACACGTGAGTTGGAGCTAGATTGGGCTAACGGAAGTGTTCCGCCATGTTTCTCTGGACAAAGTCACCTCACACCAGGGTGGTTGTGACACAAGGCCCTGCCTCATCGTCGTGCACCCTGAGCAAGCGGGGCTCAAGCTTCCTGAACCGTCCCTGCTTGATGCTGCTGTGTGCTGTTTGTTTGTTCTGTTTACCTACCAGCTCTGTCAAACCATAGCTAACAGGATATGCTCTTTGGCTGGCAGCCTCCATTTCATGCCGCGACGCGCAATCGCGACTAGAAAGTCCTTGAGGGGGCAATGTAGCAACCACACATGAAAAGGTTTGATCTGTGGCTGAAACCTTCTTCTTGGTTGGCTGCAAAGCCCCTCGCTGACAATGGGCGATTCTGGTGACAGCATGATGCCTGCACAGAATGAGTCACGAATCTGAGAAGGCCACCACTGCACGAACTCGTCAAATTCAATCTGAGCATCATGTGAGCAGTGCCAAATGGGAATTCTGCAGACCACTCCACTTGCTTGATCATTTCGGGCGTTCTTTTCTAGCCACCAAACCAGGGCACCCTTCATTTGGCCACATGCTCGAATCGCACACTAGTCTACCCAGCCCAAAACGTGCACTGCACCTAGCTAATCCTATTCAGCGGGTCTCATTCACTGCGGGGCCTAGCAAGACAGTCAAGAGGTGTCACTGACCCCGTGGGTCATGGCAAGCTACACCCGCCAACCTGCCGAGTAGATGTCGCAGCTTTCCGTGTTGAACCAGGGAAGAATCACCTTATCCCAATTGGTAGGTTGGGGATTCGAGCCCTGAGTCGCTTCTGATACCTGAGAGGGAGGTACCCTCCAACCTCAATGGTGTCAAGCCACGCTGCTGAATCCAAAAAAAGCAAAGCCAAGCGAACCCCTGAAAAAAAGAAGAATGTGGAGTTCCTGAGTGACCCGGCCAAACCACTGCCATCGCCATCGATCCGTCTGAAGCGAGCTTCGAACTCCGCCTGGCCCCAAATGGTAGGAGCGAGCCCCAAAGTTGGTTTTACCTTGGTGGATTCAAGTTCTTCCCAGCAAAATGAGCCCCAGAAACAAAAACAAATGCTTGCAGCTTGCATGCCGCGTATCACCTTGGCGTTCTTGCAAGGGAGACGTGCAATAAGCCGACAAATCTGCTTGCTTCCCGGCTCGGCCTCGACCAGGTTGTCCTGGATCTGCTTGAGCAGCGCCCACATCGTCTTCTTGTTGATTGTCTCAGGACGTGCCGCGTTTCAAGTGCCCCGTGGGCCAAAAGAAGGGGCCAACCCGTGTCGAAGCCCAAAGGAAGGGGGACCGAAAGCTGGCACCTGCTTGCTTGCTTGCTTGCTTGCTTGCTTGCTTGCTTGCTTGCTTGGTTGCTTGGTTGGTTGGTTGGTTGTGTGTTTGGTGGGTGGTTGCGTGTCTGTGTGCGTGTGTTGTGTTTATGTGTTTGTGTGCTTGTATGTGTGTGTATGTGTTTCAGTGATTTAAGTTTTGTTTGTGTGCTTGTGTGTGTGTGCCTGTTTGTGTGTGTGTGCTTGTGCTGTTTGTGTGTGTGCCTCTGTGTTTGTATGCTTGTGTGTTATAACAGCACACCACGCCCAGCCTGGCCAACCAGACCCCCAGAGAACACCCAACCCGCAACTTTGGCAAGGAAAAACTTGTACCAAAAAATCGGGCGGACCTCGTTTCGCCCCATCTCTTCTTCCCCCATCCAACACCCGCGCGTGTTTGCAAGCACATGTGTGCGAATGCCCATTCGGTTGCCAAGGAGGGTGTGTGGCAAACATGATGGCGCTTATCGTTCTGTCGGACGCAGCGGCCAGCCTTCTTTAGATGGGCGTCAATGTGTCGAACCAACAACGTGTCAACGCAATTGACCCTCGAGTTTGTACCAGCAATCTTGCCGCCTCTCTTTTTCTCCACAAATTTGATAGGTAGGCTGCTGCCCAATTGAATCATCGACACACACCCAACCCGTGTTCAAGCACCATGAGTTTCTAAAATATGTCTTTCTGGATATGGGTGACGGCAAGGAGTGACCCACACGGAGACGCTAAAATGAGTGGGCTAGGCGTCCCTTACAAATGGTATAGCCAAACACTTGCGGTTGCCACGAGCAAACAAAACTAATGGGTTTCAAAAAAAGGCAAGCCCCTCAAGCGGTTGGCGCTTCAGTATCCAAAAGGGCCCTAGTTTGGGAAACACCCAGCGAAGCAACTGAAGAAAGCGTCAGTAGCTGGCTCTGAGCGCTGCGCGGCCGGATTCGCCGGGTATCCGCACACACCAGGAGTTCCATCCTGGGCGCCGAAAACAAACATTTCCTCACTCCGAAGCAACCTAACGATCTAGGTGTCACATGCCCAAACCAACAAATGAGCGTCTTGACAAAACATGCAGCACATGTGCAGTGTCTACTGTCTAGTGTCTAGTGTGTGTTGTGTGTCTGTGTGACTGTTTATGTGTGGGTGTTGTCTTGTGTTGTGTTGTCTTGTCTTGTCTTGTCTTGTCTTCTCTTCTCCTCTCTTTTCTTGTACTGCACTGTACTGTACTGTATTGTACTGTACTGTACTGTGGTGTGTTGTGCTGTGTTGTGTTGTGTTGTGTTGTGTTGTTGTGTTGTGCGTTGTGTTGTGTGTTGTGTTGTGTGTTGTGTTGTGTGTTGTGTTGTGTGTTGTGTTGTGTGTTGCGTTGTGTGTTGTGTTGTATGTTGGTTGTGTTGTGTGTTGTGTTGTGTGTTGTGTTGTGTGTTGTGTTGTGTGTTGTGCTGTGTGCTGTGTTGTGTTGTGCTGTGTGTTGCGTTGTGTGTTGTGTTGTGTGTTGTGTTGTGTTGTGTTGTGTTGCGCTGCGTTGTGTTGTGTGTTGTGGTGTGTTGTGTTGTGTTGTGTTGTGTTGCGTTGTGTTGTGTTGTGTTGCGTTGCGTTGTGTTGTGTGTGTGTGTATTTGTTTGTTTGTTTTTGTTTGTTTGTTTTTGTTTGTTTGTTTTTGTTTGTTTGTTTTTGTTTGTTTGTTTTGTTTTGTTTTGTTTGCTTGCTTGCTCGTTTGTTTGTTTGCTTGCTTGCTTGTTTGTTTGCTTGTTTGTTTGATTGTTTGTTTGTGTGTGCGTTTGGTTTTGCGCTTGTTTTCGTATGCGCTTGTGTCCTTCCTTGCGGCTGTGTGTTTGTGTGGTGTGTGTGTGGGTTTGTGTGTGGGTGTGGGTGTGGGTGTGGGTGCGGGTGGGGGTGGGGGTGCGGGTGCGGGCGCCAGTGCGGGTGTGGGTGCGGGCGCGGGTGCGGGTGCGGGTGCGGGTGGGAGTGTGGGTGTAGGCGTGGGTGTGCCTGTGGGTGTGGGTGTGCGTGCGCGTGCGGTGCGCCAGGTGCGCGGGCGCATGGGTGCGCGTGCGCTTGCGCGTGCGCGTGGCGTCTCCGCTCGTGCGAGTGAGTGCGGGTGCGTGCCTGCGCGTGCCTGCGCCTGCGTGTGCGTGCGGGTGCAGGTGCGTCCGGCGCGCAGGTGCGCGCGGGCGCGCGTTTGCGCGGGTTTCGGTGTGTTTTTGGGTGTGTTTGGGTGTGTTTGGCTGTGGGTGTTTCGGTGTGTGTTTGGGCGCGCCTGCAACACCAACAACCCCAAAAGAAGTAGGATATGTTCTGGGGCGCTGTTCTGTCAAGCACAGGCGCTTGGGTGTGTGTTTGTGTGGTTGTGTGTTTGTTTGTGTGTGTTTGTGTTTGTGTGTTATTGTGTGTGTTGTGTTTGTGTGTGTGTTTGTGTTTGTGTGTGTTGCGCGTTTCTTTGTGTGTGTGTGTCTGTGTGTGTGTTTGTGTGTTTGTCTGTCTGTGTGTTTGTGTGTTTGTGTGGTTGTGTGTTTGTGTGTTTGGGTGTGTGTGTGTGGGTGTGTTTGTGGGCGCGCTTGTGTTTTTTGGGGTGTTCGGGTTGTGTTTCTGGTGTGTTTTGTGTGTTTGTGTTTTGCGGTTGTGTGTGTGTTTGTGTGTGTGTGTTTTTGTGTGTGTGTGTTTGTGTGCCTTCGTTTGTTTGTGTGTTTGTGTGTGTGTGTGTTTGTATGTTTGTGTGTTTGTGTGTTTGTGCGCGCTTGTGAGTTTGTGCGGGTGTGTTTGTGTGTGTGTGTTTGTGTTTGTGCGTTTGTGTGTTTGTGTGTCTGTGTGTTTGTGTGTTTGTGTGTTTGTGTGTGTGTGTGTTTGTGTGTTTGCGTGTTTGTGTGTTTGTGTGTCTTGTGTGTGTCTGCATTGTCTTTGCGATGTTGTGTCTTTGTGTTTTGTGCATTTGTGTGAGTGTTTCTGCGCTTGTGTGTTTATGTGTTTGTGTGTGTTTGTGTGTTTGCGAGTGTGTTTGTGTGTTTGCGTGTTTGTGTGTTTGTGCTGTTTGTTTGTGTGTGTTTGTGTGTGCGTTTGTGTGTGTTGTGTGCGTTTCTTTGTATGTGTCTGTGTGTGCGTTTGTTTGTTCATCTGTCTGTGTGTTTGTGTGTTTGTGTGCTTGTTTGTGTGTTTGTGTGTTTGGGTGTGTGTGTGTGTGTTTGTGTTTGTGTGGTTGTGCGTTTGTGTGTTATGTATGTTTGTGTTTTTTGGTGGCTTCTTTGTGCTTGTGTCTTGCGTGTTTTTGTGTGTTTGTGTGTGTGTTTGTGTGTGTTTGTGTGTGTGTTTGTGTGTGTGTTTGTGTGTGTTTGTGTGTGTGGTTGTGTCTGTGTGTGTGTCTGTGTGTGTGTCTGTGTGTGTGTCTGTGTGTGTGTGTCTGTGTGTGTGTGTCTGTGTGTGTCTGTGTGTGTGTCTCTGCGCGTGTCTCTGCGCGTGTCTCTGTGCGTGTCTCTGTGTGTGTCTCTGTGTGTGTGTGTCTCTGTGTGTCTCTGTGTGTGTGTGTCTCTGTGTGTCTCTGTGTGTCTCTGTGTGTCTCTGTGTGTCTCTGTGTGCCTCTGTGTGTCTCTGTGTGTCTCTGTGTGTCTCTGTGTGTCTCTGTGTGTCTGTGTGTGTGTGTGTTTGCGTTTGTGTGTGTGTTCGTGCGTTTGTGTGTTTGTGTCTCTTGCACCTACTATCTCAGCCCTTGTCTGGCACCTTCCAAGCAAAAACATGTGTTCGGGCATGCGAACAATGCACTTCTAGCATACACCTGTCATGTCCTACCGTATGCCCAGCGTGTTCCGGCATATTCCAGAATCTAAATCGCGCCTAGTCTTTCCGCCTAAGATGCGCAGCATATTTTGTGTATGTGTGTGGCACCATTCCTCGCCTGATGCCGCCAAGCTAACAACAGTCCAAGCGTGCATCTACCGATCATTTGCCCACGTGTTTTAAATTTCACGTGGTGTTTTCCGGTCAGGAGTGTCATGTCCGGCATGCCTACCAGCAAACGTCTAGCCTGTGTGTCGCTTGTGTCTAGAACATGCCTGGCATATTTGCGAAACAGTTCTAATTAAATTCAATCCGGGAGTCCGCGAAGTGACTTGCGTAAAGTGACTTTCTGTCCCGCGCTGACAACGCATGTCTAGCAGGCAACTATTCAACACGAACTCGGGCTCAAGGGAGAACATGGGTCTGAATATGTTATTTGTTTCATCTTCTCTTTCAAGATTGACTTCGACTGGGTTTTAGAACTTCGGGCCCAAGTTGTTATTTCTGCTGCTTTCTGGAGTCGTGCTTTCCTCAAAGCTGACGGACATACTGGGCCGAACAAGTGCGTTAAAACGCTTTTGGTGCGCCAAAAAGTCGGCCCATGACCACTCATTTTTCATTTGCTAACGCGGTGAACAAAAGGTAGCACGTGAGGAACAGCTGGCTGAGCAAACCTCTGTGCAACACTAGATGTGCAATTTGTTCACCTTGAGTCTAACTTCTTAAAGGGACAGGTTTACTGCCTTGTCGCGCTCTTTGGCCAATCTCTGCCATGGTTCCCCACCTTTCTGGTTCTCGAGCACGTGTGCTCTTTAGCCTTTCTATGCCACCGGTTCCCCACCTGTCCGGTTTTCGAGCACTTGTGCTCTTTAGCCTCTGTATGCCAGCGATTCCCCACCTGTCCAATTTTCGGAGCAGTTGTGCTCTGCAGCCTTTCTATTGTCAGTTTATTCCCGTTTTCAATTCATCAATCTTTTCATGCCAAAGGGCCCCCCCGGGGCCCAAATAATTGATACATCACAGCGGTCGGACCCCTACACTTGCTTAAAGCAAGAAAGAACTCCAGGATAGCTATCGCTACCTTTCGTGAAAAGTCGACAGGGTGTCGCCTGAAACGAGGTCTGAACCCGCTTGGCTTGGGTCAAGGTCAGGCTTTCAAGCCCCGCACATGGCACATGTGTTGTGCTTTCTCAAGGCTCGTGAAGGCCAACGGCTTGTTTGGATGGTCCCATCGCAACTCAAACGAATAGCAGAAACAGCAAAAGCGCCTCTTTGGGCGGCAGGAAGCTCTCGAAGAGGTCGTGGAAGAATTGCAGGCGAGCTTTGGGAATGCGGTACTGCAAGGACAACTCCTGCCAGCCATATCGACAGGTCCTTTCGCCTTTTACCCCCAGGAGTCCTCAGCCGTCGGGTCGGGAAAAGTGCCCTAATCACTGCTAGGTGAGATTCAACTGTACAACAGCTAGGTTCAAGCCTGTTTCGCTAAAGCTTCGCTAAAGGTGTCTCAACGAGTTTGAATCCCACCCTTCTGCTTATGCAAACACTGCCTTTCCGAAAGTCGGACTCCTTTTTGTAACATGGCCCTCCCAGCCTTACAGGTCACCATTCTCGCAACCACATCAAAGTAAGACACAATTTGCACAACACCCTCCAAAGTGCTCTACATGCGGCTTTCCCACCGCTCGGAGACGCTCAAACCAAATGCTTGCAAGGAAAAGCAACACACGTACACACACTGCACAGTAGCTGAACGAGCGGACGGACGCACGGCCGCACTAACGCACGAACGCACGGTCGCACGCGCGGACGGGCGCGCCGCGCACAGGCAGGGGGATGCCGCCCACATATCCGGGCTGCTCAGGCACTTCAACGATCCCGTGCCTGGCCCACCAAGGCTACAGGTGACTCGAGCCTAGTCAGCTCACCCGGTCCTGCTTGGGGGCCATTGGTGGGTCCATCTTTTTGGGAGGTCCCTGACAGCCATTGGAGGAATCTGGCAATAGCGCCGAAAGTCCTTAAAACAACGAGGCAAGGCCTCAACCACCAAGAATGCAATGAAACCATCGTGGACACATTGTTTGATTGCACGTTGAAAGGGTGATTGCCCTGGCAAATCCCTGCAGAACGTGCCTCCATTGTGGGCTTCTGTTCAGCCACCACTGTCGGCGGCTCCTCCTCTTCATCCTGAGGTGCAAAGAAATGCCTTGACTCCATGCGAAACGACACTTGTGTCAATGTTGCCAGATCCATGCATGTCGCAGTTGCGTTTAACTGCCCCGCGTTCCCCCACACAACCACAACAACGGCAATCTCAGATCACATAAGCATGATGGTTCAGGGCATTGCCTGCCGACAAGCCATGACGTGCTCAAATTCCAGATGCTCATGCTTCCCGGCTGTCTTGTCATCTAATGCACGTAGGCTCTCGACATGCTCCGTTCCACAAGTTACAGTACAAGCTCTTTGAACGCTCTACCAAATTTATCTCCTGAGACCCTACCTTATAGTCACATCTCTTGGTCGGCCCAGCGCGCGCCACTCCGACGGCCTTGACGCCGTTTTCTGCACGGCGCTGCACTTCCAGGTCAACCTCCAAAAGCCAAGAGGGTCAAGGGTCAAGTTGACGCAAACTCTCGATTGAAACTTCCAACGCAAAGGTGATTGCTGCCTGCCCGGCCCTATGTGATGTTCAGGCGACCGTTTCTGCCAAGGCAACCTGACTCGAACTTGCTGCGATTTAGGCGAATGTGACTCTCACGACACAAGAGCATGAGGCCTGGTGGCGTTAGGCGAGAGAAGAAGGGATTCTAAAAGGCCCATACAGGGGTGCACTCAAAGGAAGAAGTCCTCACTAACGGCGTGAAGTGAGGACTGAGGGATGAGCAACGACTGGTGCCGTCGGCAGGTACTACCGCCATTTATTGTAGGGCCCTCTGTACCTCAATGCAGTTCAAGGCTTTGGGTAAAGGAAACTAGTCATGGGCAGGGGGTTTACGGGTAGGGGGCTGGGAGGGATGAGGGGCTGCAGGGCTGCAGGGCTGAGGGATGGAGGGTTGAAGGACCTCTGTCGCCTCGTGCAGTTGTTCTCTGCTATTTGTTCTCTGCTAATTCACCACTCACCACTCATCACTCACCACTCAATGAGGAGCTGCCCCTCAGCTCCTCAGCCCCTCAGCCCCTCAGCCCCTCAGCCCTTGAAACCCCTTCATCCTCTCACCTCTCGGGCCGGGGTTCCGCTGAAGCATGTTAGGCTTGATTAAATTTGGGGGGGCTCGTCTCACAGCTTGCATTCTTGCGGGTGGGCAGATGTGTGCGGGGGCTGGGGGGCTGGGGGCTGAGGGGGCTGTGGGGCTGAGGGGGCTGAGGGGCTGAGGGCTGAGGGGCTGTATGGGAACGGCACTGACCACATGGGAGGCAACCGCAAGTGGCTGAAAGCCTCGGACTCTACACCGCTATGTGACGTGTGCTTCTCTGCTGTTTATCGTCCTCTGGGTTCTGCCCCAAACCATGCAAAAAGGGTGCCATGAGTGTTCTTTTGGCTTACAATGTTGTGAAATCCCACGTCAACACAAACCCTACGGCGTATGTTGCTCGGGTGTTTTTGTCTGTTTGTTGTTTTGTTTTGCTCTTTTGTCAGACCCCCAGAAACTGCTAGAAACGTTTTCATAACCCTACGCTCCATTTACCACGGGCTGGATCTTTGTTGCCACTGAAATTGGGCGCTGGGCTCAGGTTGGGCGTCTCTTCCCAGGCCTTCTTCTTGAGGGCAATGAACGGATCCGGCCCGGCGAGAACTTGTTTCAGTACCTGCGGCTTGCTGCGTAGCCCTGCCGAAGGTCTCTGAAGTGGCTGGCCCTTAAATGTTCTGAATGAACCAGCCTTGCTGAAGTCAGCACCCAATTTAGCCCCATAGCAAGGCTTGTCCAAGCCGTTGTGGAAGGGGTTTTTGGGGGCTTCTTGACGGGGCCCGTGAAGCAACAAAGCAGATGGCCCGAGCTTTTTGACAGCCATGCTTTGGGACATTCTTTGCAGTGATCATCTCGAGGCAATTGCCCCCGCAAGCAGTAGGGTGGCAATTAATTGAGACGGGTGATGAGAATATGGGGGAAGGGTCAAAGAAGACTGAGGTGAATCCACAAGTTGCGAGATGTCTGCGCGTTGCCTTGCTATCCACGTGGCCGGTGTGCTCCACGCCGCATGCCGCCTGAGACGCAGGCATCGGATTGGGCTGTGCAGAATTTCAGGGAACGACTAAGGATTCCCTTAATCCTCAGCCCAGTCAGAGGGGCCACGCCTGCAGGATCTTCCATGATGACTTCATCGCAGGGTCCCACCAGCGATCCCGGACCTGGCGGGATCAGCGAGCTGCGCCACCATTCTGTGATCCAACAATGAAGGGTGGTGGCTACATTCATTCACCTTGAAGGAGTCTGTTCCTGCGGCGTCGGGGGGCCGAAAGGGAAGATGAGGAGTGGCGTTGGGGGACACGCTGCATACTTGCTCACTCAACACCCAAAAAGTTGACGGGCTGTTCGGCTCCAGACGGCCAAAGCAAATCTTCCCCATCACCACGAACAAGGGGATCCTGTGCTTATTTCAGCAGCCTAAGTGGCGCACAGTTTGGCGTACGGTAGCCGTCAGCCATGCTTGGTTGACCACGCTTCCTGAACTTGATTTAATTCGGGGCTTTCCGCTTCCACCTCGGGTTCATAGTCCCCACATTTCGTTGTCGAACACAGGCGCTGCCGCAGTTCAACACACTCCCACGGGCAATCGGCCCTTTGCCCCAAACGGAAAAGAGCAAGGGTGAAAGGAGCCTTCAAAACCGTGGGACTTGGGGTCGCAACGGTAAGGAGCGGGCTGGGCCTCCCTGCCCAAAAAAGAGGGAAAGCATTCAGCTCAAACCGGTTCTCCTCACTTGGCCCCAGACCCTCCCAGCGCCTTCTCCTTGGGAGCCTCCTCGGGTGCCTCATCCTTGGAGCCCTTGGCGCTCTCCTCCGTTGACTCCTTGGACCTAGATGCTCACCAAACCCCTGGGATTCAGACCTATGGATTTCGTGGGATGAAAGCCAAAACCATCCAAACCCCGTGTGGTTCCAGCAACACTGCTCTTCTTCCGGGGCAACCTCCGATTCGCCAAATGGGGCGCCCTTCTTCGCTGCGCGCCAACGCCACGGGATTCGCCGGGGCCCCCGCTGCTTCTTCTTACCCCTGCGAGCATTTCCAGGCGTCTGTTTCTCTTTTTTGGACTGAATCAGACAAGCCCAGAGCTGATATCCGCCGACCCTCGCTCCAGAAGGGAAGGAGCAAGGTCGGTCATCATCATCATCATCATCATCATCATCATCATCATCATCATCATCATCATCATCATCATCATCATCCGCATCATCATCATCATCATCATCCGCATCAGCAGCATCATAATAATTCGTTGTAATCAGCGTTATATTAATTCGTTGTAATCAGCATCAGCAGCAGCAGCAGCAGCAGCAGCAGCATCATCATCATCATCCCCATCCTCCTCCTCCTCCTCCTCCCATCATCATCATCATCATCGTTCTCATCCTCATCCTCATCCTCATCCTCATCATCCTCATCATCCTCCTCCTCATCATCATCATCATCATCATCATCATCATCATCATGTTTGTAGCCTCGCTGGTGATGCTGCGAACACGACACCCCTCAGCATCATGAGTGCTTTGACAAAGAAAGTGTTTACTTACAGTGCAAAAGGACAAGCAAACCTGCAAAAGGGCAACCTCCTCTTGTTTTCAAAAACAAGGTTCCATCCCAGTTGGAAGCCCCTTTGCCAATCACCCTCCACCTCGAAACAACCAGCAAAAGTCAATTCCGAGCAGCAGCCTTTTGCCGCCATCCGTGCAGCACTTGCAGCCGCAGGCAGACAGGATTGAGGCAAACGGTCAACTTGAAATTGGGGGGGCAAAACATATTGGATGCTCACCCCAGCATCGACTCTTGTCTTGCACAAGGTGCAGGAAGATCAGTCTCGGGCAGCTCGCCTCTTCTCCTTCTCCTTGGGCGCTTCCTTCTCTGGCTCCTTCTCTGCCTCCTTTTCCTTTTCATGCTTGTTCACCTTCTGTCCTTGTTCCGCGCAAAACCCCACACGTTAAGGGACTCAACCTTCTATTTGTGAAAAGTGCCGGGAGCTGCCCCAAAAAAAGCAACTAGCGCCATTGCGACAGACGTTCAAGGGCGCTCTGTTTCACGCTTTCCGACTAGCATCACTGACACCCCTTCGGCCGCCCACGGAAGAGCTTCGAGCCCCCATCATCCGCGGCCTGGCCCCAAGCAACACATAGCAAGACCCAAGGTCCCTTCCTGGACCTGCCTGGACCTGCAAGACTCGCGCAGCTCAACGGCTCCACCGCTTTTTGGCCGCAGGCCATGCGAGCTCGCAGGGAGCTTACGCCAGGGTCGGGCTGACTCGCACAGCACCAAACTGCAAGAGAAGAATTGACTGGCCCTTGGCAAAAGGCGCAACTCGGCCCAACCCTGTAAGATGCGACAGGCTGCTACTCACAGCCTCCAACCCACCCCGTTTTGTGCCCTTCTGGGAACAGTCCTGACAACTTTGAGAGCAAGCTAGAGGAACACCATGGCATTCGGCTCGGAGGCTCATGATAGACCTCTAGACCCAATGGGGTCATACGTCAAGTCGCGCAAAAAGAGAAGGTGTGTCCTGTTGTGCACGCAATCCTGCACCGGGGGGATGAGAATCTGTGGGCGTTCGCCAACTGCGAGGATTCATGCACTGGGTGGAAATGTGGGGCGCAGGGCCTGTCTTAGGCTGCGCTCCGCGTATAAGTTGTTTGAGTGACAAAATCCATCAGGCGCTCGCTGCAAGATCCACTAGTAAATTTGCAGCTGCTCAATTCCATTGAGACCCAGGGCATGCGTCCCTGCAAGCCCTCTTCACCAAGGCTGTGGCAGCTAGGACCTTCAAATGAGAGCTTTGCAAAATCGAAGGGCCCCTTTTTTTGGTGGATGGTCCGAAAGGGAGCTAAATGAATGGCTCAGTGGCCCCAGGTCCCTTCACTCCCTCTAAGCTCCCTAAGCCGGGGAGTCCGGGCGCTCAGCGGCCGCGAGCGCCCTCGGGGCTCCGGCGCATTGGCGCAGGAGCCCAGCCAGCAGCAGCTGCTCCTCGGCAAATGCGGCGCGCGGTCAGTGATCGCAGGTGGCCGCGGCAGCACCAGCTCATCCAGCGACTCCTCCAGAAACCCCCAAAATGCGCCGAAACAGGCACTCAAAGGACTCAAAGGGCTGGTTTCTTCAAGAAGGACATGGACATGCCGGAGGGCATTTTTCCGCCTCAAACGGGCAGTGGCTCTCCTTGTGCGGTATGTGCGGCACGCTTTGGTCAAGTGGCACACTGACGCTGCGGGCCCGGCTGGACCGCGGACGGGGGGCGCCCCGGGCCGACAGCAGCTCAATGGGCCCAGAACTGCTGCGCGCCAGGCGGCGACTGCTTGCAGCGGCGGCGGCCAACTTCAGCTCGGCCAAGTTTAAGCAAGGGACGGGGGGCTTCAGCTCGGCTCTAGCTCGGACTTCACTGGCCTCATCCGCTTTCGCCGCTTTGGCATGGTCCGGCGTGCCAGGCGGCTCTTGCTGGGCACAAGCTAGGCTGCCCGGTCTTGCCGAGCAGCCTGTGCTCAGCGGCGAATCCCCGCACTCCGTGGCAGCATCCGCCTCAATCACCTCAAGCTGGCCAGGGAGGCTTTGCTCACCCTGCTCCGCCTCCGCGGTGCTGCGGAGGGCCTTGCTGGCACGCTCTCGCCGGTCCAGCCTTGCCCCCTTGGAGCCAGTTGGACGCTCTCGTTGATCACTGGGACTTGCGCCGAGAGGTTCAAGTGCGCAACCTTGGCCTACAGCAGGAGCAACTTGCGCTTCTAAGTCTGGCTGACCTGGCAAGGCCACCTCTTTCGAGGACTCGGGCCACTGCTCATGAGGGTGCTTGGGCAATTCCTCGCAGCGAGCAAACTCAGGCTCTTGCTTGGACGTAGGCCTGGAAGGCTTCAGCAAGCTCCAGCATCCCAGGCGGGCCTTGCGCAAGCCCTCGGCCGCTTGGCTCACGCTCCGAGAAAGACGCCTCAGTCCACTCGGTCTGCCCCGTTCCTCTGGCACCTCCGTGTCCTTTGGCTCCTTCATCTCCGGCTGGCATTGCGCATGTCGGTGCAATCGGACCATGGGATGCAACAGAGGCAATCTAAAGGGTAAAGCCTGAGGACTCTCTGATCCAAGGCCCAAGGCAAATGCATGATGCAGGCAGCACAGTCTGCACCGCTAGCCGCTTCATCCTCGATCAAATCAGTCAATAATCCCATCATTCATCCTAGCGTCAATCCATGCTGCTACCGGCAAATATATAACACGTATACAATACATGTTAATGTTGGCCACTCCACCCGAAACAGTACACACGCTCATTGGCAGCTTAAGCCGGTCCTGGCCTCCAGCTCGAGGCTGTCGTTCTCCGTTTGGATCTGTGGCACGGGTGCCAACACCCCAGCAACAACAAAGGCCCCAATCATCGCCCCACTTTAGCTTTGCACGACCTTGACAGCGCCTCGTTGCGCCAAAACCCTGCTCTGCAACGTCCAACAACACCCTGCACAACTGCCAATGCGTCACACCTGCTTGGATTTCACCGACTAGGGACAAAAGGAAAGGAGAGAGAGAGAGAGAGAACCGGATGCCCCAAGTTCGCCAAGCCCGTCAAGCAAGAAAAGCGAGCCGCTGTGCGGCCACGTGCCAGGCTAAGAAGTTGTTTGTTTCCAGTAGGTTACTTCCTTGTGGGAATGATCTCCCACTGGCTTCGGGAAACCCGTTCTTGTGGCCCCTATTTGCCGCCTTGGCAAAACAAACTAGAGGTAAAATGGGTTGCGGTCAGACAGTTTCTTACTTGGGTGTTTCTGCAAAGGCTGGTTGCTTCCAGCGAAACATCTGACGGGATGGTGGCGGTCCTCGAGCCCAAAGAGGACTAGCAGCTCCTGCAGCAGGATCACGTGCGGGCCGTGCGGCGCCACCTGCAGAACCAGGCGTTCTGAGCAGCAATCGGCCCACCAAAAAAACAGCCCTTGCCCTTGCAGGCCCACAACCCAACCACTTAATAACTAACCAACTCAAAATATTCGAGCCCATAAAATGCATGAGGTTTCGATAGGCCAGTGTAGCCGCATGCAGTGAAAGACATTGAGCGCGTCAGGGGCATCCAGATCACACACATTCGGTAGAACATGCGGAACTAGAAATTCCACCCGGACTACATCAGTGGCATCAACAAGTACCGGGATTGCCTCATCATTGAGGAACAACGTTTGCGACAGCTCCATAAAGCAGCCAAGGAATGCGTGAACGTCAGAGACGACAATTCTATTACGACGCATTACCGATTCGCATGGCTGACATGTTGAACCCGCAGGTAAGAGTCATAGTTGTGCGGCCTGGTTTGGTCTGGTAAGGGGCAGTGAAGGTTTATATCATCTCGCAAGCAAGGAACCATACACAGTGCCATCAGCATCAGTTTCCTTCCCGGAGATGCAACAAGCTGAGGGGGCTTGTGAAAATGTATGTGCGCGGCAGTACGTTACATGCCTTGCACAACAAGCTCTGCAGTAAAAGCAACTTGGGTGCTGCGCTTGACATGTTGCGAGATGGCAAAGCACTGCATCTTGATGCCCTAGAGCGATTGTACCTCAGGATCACCTGGGTCGCACAGATGGTATCATGCTGCGATGGCATCCCCAAATGTGGGTGTTGCTCAACCTCATCGTAGCTCCACTTGGTGTAGGATTTGGCAATTTCTATTGAACGTGGTGTGCTCAGCCGTGAGGCGAAAGCCCATAAGCCCATACGCACACTTTGCCCAACCGAGGCAATCTTGCGCCTGCTGAAAAGGTAGGGCAGCGTTGCCAAAGCATCAGTTCATTAACACTTTAAATCAGGGTCAGCGCACGTGCGCTGCGCTGTCGACTCTCAAAGTGATGTACTCCTCTGCTGTCAGAGCGGCGTGCAAGACACTGCTGGAGGCGCCACTCTATGATGTTGCGATCGGCGGTCATCCTTACCTTTGATGCACCTGACGTTGTAGGACCCATGTTTCAGAGCTCCACAAGCCCCCACGCTGCACCCAGGTACGTGTTGTAACGTGCTCCAGCGTAATCACCTGACTTTGTACGCGCGGTCGTGGCCTGCCACTGCCTAGCGTGCCACAGAAAGCGCTGACTGTGTGAAACTTGGGCGCGTTGGCCGCGCAGGCCAACCGTGGAGATGTGTTTGTTCTTTGTCAGTCAGAGTCAGAACTGCATGCAATTGGCACAGCGGCGTCGGAAAGTCTCCTCATCAACAAAGACGAAAAAAAAAAAAAAAAAAAAAAAAAAAAAAAAAACGGTTTCGAGGCACGCTCCAACATCGGGATACACGCAGTCCAAATGTATGGAAGAGGTGCATTGACAAAAGGCGAGCCACATCGAACTGAAGCACGTCTTCATGCAGCTGCTTGTCAAGAACAAGATCACCTCCATGCGCAAGATTACATCAGAGGACAGCCCGGCTGACACACTGTGCGGGTGAAAGCACTACTCTTGCTCGTGTCCTCGCCCACATGATGCCCGGTTGGCATTTGTATACGCGTCGCCGTAAGTGGACATCGCCTGTCCTGGGTTTGCACCTTGGCCTCAGGTTGCGCCTCATGTGTCTTGTAAACTTTGAGGCGCCCGATCAAGTGTTTGAGTCTCTTGTTGTCAAATCAGTGTGCGCCAGCCATTGTCTTCCATGTTCGTGTCCAGTCGCTGCCAGTCGCTCCTCATCTTCGGCGCTGCCTTGCAGAGTGTGGCACTCCAGGCGATGGCGCTGGATTGCATGTTCTCGTGCCTGATTCCTGTGTGTGGGTGTGTGATGTTTCTGCCGCCAAATGCATATGGTTGAAGTTGCCTGTTTTCCTTGGCATTCTGCTGATCGGCATAACATGTCTACGATGCGTTGCGGCCCAAGAAACGGGAGGTGTCTACTCGACGCAGACTGGCAGCCTTTTGATCTGTACACTGTACACATTTGCTCTCTGTTACACTGTGCAAGCTCAAGTGCAACTGTAGGTGTGTGTGTGTGTGCTATATGTGGCCAGGCCATTGTTTTGGCGATGGCATTAAGCCCAACAAACGCTCGTGAACTGCCACATGATGTCTCTCTTTGTTTTGCTGTAGAACTCTTTGTGCGCCGCACGCTCAAGTTGCATACAAGTTGTACACCTTCGCCGTTGTAAGTAACTTCAGGATGCAAAACAGCGGCGCACCGGCAAAGAGTACAGTAGGTCGTGGGCTGCAGCGGGCCCTGCGTAGCCTTTTGCTACAATCTTTGCTCGTACTTCGTGTTGTTGCTTAGGCTTGAGAACCCGTTTTGATCCGACATGTTTGCTTGCTGTTCTGGAGTCAGTGTGCGCCATGTTTTCTGCCAAAACTGTTGCTTGCTCATGTGGCTGTGGCGGGAACCACGTTGTAAACAACAGGGCCCAACATTCTTTCCGCATAGCCCTGCTGTGGACACCGCAGCTGATAGATCTGGTGGCTGTGGAAGCGCTGGTGCTGTAGCTGTGTGTGACAATGATGATACGATGCTCTAATAGCGCGAACGGTTGCGTCACTCATCTATCTGGCCGTTGGTGTCGGAGTTGCAAGTGTGCTGTGTGTCCTGGCTGTCCGCGTCTGTAGCTAACATTGGTTGCCTTTGATCCTTTGCCTCCTTGCCGGGTGTGGTAGCTCCTTTGCCTTATCATTTGTTGCTGTATCCTTTTCCTTTTCCATATCCTTGTTGCCCCTTGTCCAATCGGTTGATTGCCCTCCTTTCCTGTTCCTCCATTGCGCCTGTCGTGCGAGGGGTCTGTACGTTGTGGCCTTTCATTGCGCAGCATTTCGCTTTTAACGTCATCTGGAAATAGAGTGCCATTGTCCTGCTCACTGTTGGCGAGTTGGAGCCCCCGCGTTGCGAAACTCTCTTCGAACTTGCGGTTGTCGAGCTGTGGCTTTTGTCTTGCACGCTCACCGAGCGTGCAAAGTGTTGACGTTGGTCCATCGCATGTGCTCACCAACATGTAGTGTAGCTTGTTGCTCAGTTGTATCCATTGTTTTGCCATAGCTTGTGAAGGTGCTAGGTGCTGCAACTGCACTCTCCTGTGAACCGCGCTATTCCTTCCAACTGTTGTTGCTGTCACTGAGCTCCATTTCTGCTGTGTTGTATGGAAAGGCCGCCAAATCTTTCCCAGATGTGTGATGTTGCTCACTGCTCTGCTGCCGCCCCCTTTCACTAATACCAAGACTGCTGTTCCAACCCAGGCCTAAGAAATCCGCCCATTGAATTTCTGTTTTGAAAACGGCTCTTCCGGGAGGCTGCCCCTCTACGCCCATCCCTCTTCGGGCCTGGGACTCGAATTCCGGGTCCGTCTGCTTCAGGAACTCCCCCGTCAGCATCTTGCCCTCTTGAATGCCCTGCAGGGCCTGCGAGGCGAAGAGGCAAACAGGCGAAGAGGCGAAGCGATAGAACAGGAAGGCCCACATTGGCAGCCCCGAATGGGCAATGGGCAACCAAACTTGGAGCCTGCCCATTGCCAAAGTCCCAAGTTAACAAGTTCAGATCTCCCTCGATCCCAATGCAGCAAACTTGGAGCCTCATCTGCACGCATCCGCGGCAAGAGCTCTGAGTAGATCTTCTTGAGCCTCGGGTCACTAGCCACTCTCCAACCGTGTGGATGCCAAACTGCACAGGAAGCCCGGAGGCTTCAACATCAATTTGCAAACCACGCCCACGAGAGGAGGGAGGCCGGCCACTGCGCTTTCAAGGGGGCAAGCCCGCGCCTCCCATGCTCAGCAGCCTCCCGCAGCCTCCTCTCCTCCTCCAATCGTGCAGCCTGCCCAAACGCAACGAGGCAAAGGCAGCAGCCCCCCCAGGTCACCAAACGGCGATCCTCCAATGCGAGAAAATGCAATTGGATGAGCATGTGCCAAAGGTTAGGAAACTCCGACATAGTCATGCCCCTGCTTTTGGAAAAAAAACTTCAAGCTATTGCTCACTTGCTCAAACAGAGCAAGGATAAAAGTGAAACCTCTGGGGTGATTAGCCGGGGGGAAGCCCCATCCCACCTGCCAATTTGAATTGGGCGTGCAGTGCCTTTGATTGCCCAGAGAAATGGCAAATAATGCTGGCAACCAAGTAGTGATAACCCCAAGATGGACTGCTGGACCTGTTCGCATGAGAAAGGCATCTGGTCCCTCTCTGTTTGCTGTCATTTTCCGCCTGGCCCCCGAAAAACCCTGCGAGCGCCTCCAAAGCGCGCGCTTGCTCTTCCTCCCTCAGCTTGTGCTGGCGCCGGCCTTTGCGCTTGGGCTAGGACCAGTACTTGAAACCTTCGCTCGGGATCAACGCCAGGTTTTGGGGTGTACAGCTGTTCGCTGAACAAACCAAGCTCGCCAAGTCACCACGTCACAAACACCCAATGTTGCTCAACGTGATGCCCGAGTCGGGCATGCCTTCTTGAATGGTGGTCAGCAAGATGTCGTCGTGCTTCACGATCTGGCAGGCTCTGGGCCGGACACACGCTCAACAAAGCTCCAGTCGGGACCCGTGGCGCATCACCTGACTCCACTGTGTCAGCTCAGGCTTCCCGGAGCAAACTCAGACAGGCTGACCACATTCGCCAACTTGAACCAGAACTGCTCGAAGGTGACAATGTCGCCTGGTCAAGTCTCATTGGAGCCGCATAGGCAACCTGATCTGGATTCGAGGTCCAGTTCTTCTGTGGCCAAAACGGCGTGTCACCCTTTGCTGGCTCATCCACCCAAAACCCAACACATCCCACAAGGGGCAATCTGCATCTGACTCCGGAATCGCCTCCGAGGTTGGAGTGCCGCTTGTTGGCGGCTGGCCTCTTGGTGCCCTGGCTGCCCTGGCTTGCTTGCGGCTTGGAAGGGGTTCTCCGCCTCCCAAACCCGACGAACCACTTGCTCCAAATGCAAAAACAATGGCATCCTTGCCGCATACTCAAAGGAGAGCTAGGATTGGGAGGGCAGGCGGAAATCACTAAAATAGCAAAGCATGGAAAAAGAACCTCCTCCCACCCCATCTGGTCGCTCCTGGATTTCTTCTTGCAGACTCTTGTCATCCTTGCGGAGCGACATGGCCATGATTGCAATGCTGTGTTGGAAACACACATCGAAGCGATAAGGGCGAGGAAGAGAGAGCTGGCACTACTGCGAGTCGCAATCCCAACATTCCAACTGGCTTCATCTCACTTTCCTGTTCGCTTCGCCATCGCTTACAGGTAAGCTTACAGCTTCACGTGTTGTCATTACAAGTTTGAGGCAGAATTCAAGGTTACTTGAAGCCCGTAGGGGCTCATGATGAACGCAACGCGCCCTAGTTCCGTTTCACCCCTAAACCCCTCAATTTCATTATCGCTTTGTTTGGGGTGGGGGGGCAAAGGGGCAAGCCTGCCTGCACCCAACGTCTCAATAAATTCCGGTTACGGTCAAACCCGACGATCCACTGGCGCCAAAAAACCCAACTGAAGCAAGGATCCGTGAGACGTGTCTCGTTTAGAAGGGGGGGTTGCAGGCCAAAAGCACCTGCCCCATGAACCACCAGCCCCGCGACTGACCCAAATCAACCAGCCTTCAAGGTGCCCCGCAGGAAGAAAGTGTCGTCCACAGCTGCCACTACAAAGGGCAAAGTGTTCCTCGCAGCCAATGGGGGCAACAAGATGAGGGCTAAAACTCCCCTATACTCTTGCAGAGCTTTTCACGGAAGCAACGGCGCAAGCGGCTAAGCGGGGAAGAGGACCGAAGAGTTTGGCTTCGAGGCGTGGCGGCTGCCCGCCGACCACGCCGGCCTGCCCACGACCCCATTCTGCATGAAGCCGTTGAAGATCTGCGAAGGTGATTGTTTTCGACGGGTTCGGGTGGGGAGCCGGTCGCCAGCCCCAAGCCCTACCTTTACAATGCCAAGATAATCAACACAAACTATGCCCAACCAAGGTGATGTTCAATAGCAGCAGGCAATAACAAGTCAACTCAGGTATGGGTTCCCCATTCTGGCTGACAGGCAAACTGACAAATAGACAAAAAAAAGACAAATAGAGTCAAAAGAGATAGACAATGATGTGTGCCTTCATTTGCGTACGTATGTACATACCTGCATGCAGGCAAATTAATGCATCGAAAAAGCGTGTTCGCTTTGACTGACCCTGAAAAACCTAACTTCCCCAATTGGCTGCAGCTTGCCTCCAGGACCTTCGCGCGGGAGCGCAATAGTTCGCGGCGCCCGCGCTCCTCGGCTAGCTGCTCAAGGGGACCCTCGCTTCCAATTCTTAGACCCTTGGCCGTTGATCAGTATTCAAAATTCGCAACCAAATGCTCAACAGCCGTGTCTGTTTGGCATGAAGTTGTCTTGGCCCCTTGCTCGCCATCTCTTTCAGTGGGTTGGGAAGGAAGTTGCCGCCACTAGGTGTGATCCCCAGAACAAATGCGGAATGGCACCGAGACTGGACAAATATCAGCGTCGATTGAGCTGTCGGGATTTTGCTGTCAAACTGGGAAATCTTCTAAATGGCGGGATCCCCATGAATTCCCTTGCCCAGCGATCAGTGTGCCAAACCGATTCGATGCGCGGCTTCCGATTGGCGGAGACCGCACCTGGTCTGCCCAGCTGTGAAAGCTCCTGGCCATGAGCGTGAATCCGAACTCGGCCAAACGCCGTCCAAGGCCCCGTCTTGGGAAGCCCACTAACCCGAGGTTCTGAAGAAGTGCATTAGCCCTTTCGAAGGTCAGCCATTTAAAAAGCTGAGGAAGGCGTGCTATTTTCAAGCAAGAGCCAGGTGTGATTTGTCATGATGTTTGCAATCCCTTTCTCTCGCCTGAGCTAGTTTGTTGGTGACACGGGGCTGACCGCAAGGGGCTGACCGCAAGCTGAGGAACTGACAAGGCCAACGGCAGTGAAAGCTAGACAAGAAAGCCCCCGCAGGTAGCATGGCATGTGAAACTGGAGCAACAAGCCCTGCAGACCAAAAACCAAATGGCCGCCAAGAATTGCCGACTATCACGAATCGACAACTCCTGTACAGCTCAATCCGCCTTGGAGTGGTGGCCACCCTGGCTGCGGCTGTTCGTTGGTGGGATGTTTTTTTTGGAAAGAGAAGCACAACCTGCTAATGGATGTTCGGGCAAATACGGGTTTGCGGTGTCCGCCCACCAACCCCGAAAAGGGCTAGCCTACACAAACACACATCCAAATGGCGACCCTCCCAAAATATCACCTGCCATATCGAGCTTGTCGAAAGGAGACTACCCCATTTCTCTGAACATGTTTCTCTTGAACATGGGCGCGGAGCCTAAGCGAAGCATAGCCTCCAGGACTTTGGTGTGCAGACCACGCAGTCAGGTCATGTTGTGCAGAAAGATTGTGTTTTCCACGATTTCTTCTTTTGCTTCCGAGAGCGCCGTCGTGCTGAGGGTTTCAAAACGCCCTTTGGTTCGGGGGAGCCCAGTTCAAGCTGGAGCTTGCGACACCATTTGGGTCGAGGTCCAGTGACTCATGCCCACCAAGCCCACTAAAATCGAGACTTTGGCCGGTGTTTGACGGCCTTGAAGCCCGGATCTGAGCAACCTGATTCCTTGCTTCTCCCTGTTTGGGTATCAGGATAAAGTGGGGCCCAGTTGAGCATAGCATTGTTCCGTCTGCTAGCTCCTGCTCCTTGCGCCTTAGCGCACATGTCACGTCCTTAGCCTTGTGAGTTGATAGCCCCTACCACGCCCTAGCCTCATCCCTGTGCCTTGCTGCTCGATATGTGTTTGGGCAACAGTTGGGGGGAGGGGGGGAGGGGTAAGCCCACACACAAGAGGCAAGCAATCAGTTTGTTTTAACACAGCTTGATGTCAGAAAGCGCTGAGCGTGTGCTGCCAATTTACCTTCCCACCCACCGAAGCAGCTAATGCTAAACAAGGCGTCATGTCACAGGCGCTGTGCGAGATGTCGGGGGCAAAACTACGGAGAGCGCAGCTCTCGCTGCCAGCAAAGGGCATGACCGTAAGTGCCTGTTTGCACGCGTGCTCTTATGTGTGCGTGCCTGTGCGTGCGTGTGTGTGTGAAATCACGTGGCTAGCTGCCACATCCGAGGACCTGTCAAGGGGCGCAGGCCCATATTGGGCGGATGGGAGGTCTGATCAACTGCTTGTGCCTGCAGAAGTACACCGGAACCCTGGCCTGCAAAAAGAACCCTTACCATCAGTGTGTGTGTATGCGTGTTTTGCGAGCACACTTGTCTACGTGCACGGGACAGGAACGAGAACATTTATCCACCCCTTCCCCGCGCGGGAAAATCTGCACAAACTCATGGAAAAACTGACAGGTGCCTTACCCAAAATGCAAGCCAATTCTGAGACGAGACTGGCCTTTCTACAGCTTTCGACATTGTAAACAAGTAAACTTCCCCCAAGAACATGATTCTTCGCGAACCCGGCTAAAAGCCTCACCTGCGTCCCAATCGAATCCTTGGCCTGGGGTGGCGCCGAAGCAGCTGCTGCGCTAGCCAGGTGATGGGGTTGAACCGCGCGCGGACCTTCGAAAAGCCCAGGCTCCGTGAGAGCGAACCTTTTGAAAGAAAATGGGTTGCTCTTGGCTTCTCTTTTGAAGCCATGCCAGGGGGATACCCTCACATGTGCCACGGGCAAAAACTCTTAATCTTGCCAAAGTGTAAAATTAGAGGATACGCGATGTGTTGAGGAGTCACCTGGTTCGCCTGACTTGGGCAGACTGAACGTCAAAGAAGGTCAAAAGGGGATCACATCGAAGCAGTCACTTGTAGGACGAACTGACGTTGATTTTCGCACGGCACTCCACCGCCCTTGCCAAATGCCGGGCTCTCCTCGCCCATGCATTCCTACACAAACGGAGCCGTCGTGCGTCCAGTCGGGGGACAGCATGCAGAGCTCAGGGGCGATTGACGCGAACTCGGACCATAGGTGCTCACTAATTACATCTCACTACTCTGGTCGTTTCCCTCTCAGCCCCGCCTTCGCATCCAGCCGGTCGCCCTGCTGCTGCATTTTGGACACCTGCCTGCCCAGCGCGTCCAAGGCCTCAGCCGACGGAGAGGTCCGGCCGAGGTCAAACCGACCACGGCCTGTGCAAGGACTGGCATCAGCGACTCCGTCAAGTAGACATCGAAGTCGGGAAACCTGGAAGGATATGCACAAAGGAAATGAGTGAAATGAGCACGTGCGAACAGTGAACTGGCTGCCGCGGTTCCGACTTCCATCGATACCCGCCTACGTGCCACCATGGACGGCCGTCTTCGGAAACCTGCGAGGACGCAGGTTGCTTGAAATGCCTCCATAACTGCAAAGCGGCCCCAAGGTCCGCAGTGTGGAAAAATGAATCCCACATACTCCTTTGGATATTTGGAGTTGGGGAAAAAATGAAAAGTTGATATACATGTGGTTCATGATCATGATGTCAGGCAGCGTGTAGTTTGTGGGGCCTTTGCGCACGCATGCCCGCTGGCAGCACCCACTTGGAGCACCTCAACCCCGCCTGTTCCAACTGCCGGTGCCAAGCTCGATTTCGCACCTCGGCGGCGAGGAAACTATCCAAAAGTTGCAATCTGAAAACTCGCAGCTTGAGAACGGGAACAGGAATCCCGGGGTACGTTCGATGTTCAATGTGCAAGCGCTTTCAACGCGAAGACTAGCATGTGTTTTGCAAAACAAGATCGATCCTGCATCGACCAATTGGCCTCAGGTCATTAGCAAGCAAAGGCGGCAGCATGGGGGGAACCCGGCTCAACCCCGAGACTCGGGGCCAGACCAGAGTTTCTCCGACCTCAATTCAGAATGAGCGCCATCCAGCACTGTGCAAATCCCATTGTCCGCCCCAAAGTGGGAATGCGAAGCCTCCCCTGACCGGTTAACGAAAAACTTGGTAACTCAGACTGACTCCGCAACTAAACGGATTGACTCGACCTGCCATGGGTTAAACCTTCATATTCACATCCTGCCTAACTCAAAAGGAGCTAGCTTTCTAGTAAATCATGCGGAGACTGTTGTTGAAACAAATGAGTACTGAACACAGCGGTCTATAGGATCCTTATGCCCGTAAAACCTGATGCCTTCGACAATAGATGTGGCTCTGAGACCTCAAGGCTCTCTATTCACCTAAGTTCACTGCCCTCGTTGGTCCCATCGCTTGGGAGGAGCTTCTGAGCTCGGTCGCTGCTCAGCCTTAGACAGGCCGATCCAAGCAGCCAAGCCCAGCATGTCAGAAACTTGCCTGGACTCTATACCTTGCACTTGCACGATGCTTGCCGCCGACTGCGACCCTCCTCCGCTGCAAGTGTGTCCCAGCGGTACAGATGCAAAGCACTAAGCCCGCACAAGGCCACAACATGAGCGAAGCCAATCACAGTGCACCACGACATCAGCTGCCCCTGATTTCTGTGTTGCACGCTGTGCGCCGGGCTTCTGCGTGAAGAACTCCTTGTCCAAGTTGAGGCCTTTCAAAATCTCGTCCACCTGTCGGTTGCATGAAAACATGGAACCCCCAACGCAACGTTGCGTTTTTGGAGGAGTCCCTGCTTGACTTGAGGGGCCTTTGTCGTATTGCAACTGATTCCTCCTCCATACGAGCTCAAAGTGCCTTCTCCATACAACGATTTAGCATGTGCAGTGCACATCTATCCATGTTGCTCCGCCTCATCTTTGAAGATGGGGTTGGATTTTGATGTTCCAGCCATGGCACCGGGTGGATCGTTCATGACATGGGCCACAACAAAACACCAAGCAAGTGCTTAAGAAACCTACTGGATCTTCCACTTGCGCCCCACAGCAATCCATGAAACTACACGCTATGCATCTAAAGCTGACTTGCGCCATGTGCCCCAACAGCTGCGGTTCAACAACGCGAAACATGGACTCTGAATGTAGACGTGGAGAGGTTTTCCCGAACAGCTGGCGAAGCATAGCCTCCTCGGTCCAGCAGCCGACCAACCGGCAACGGATGGACCGCAGCAGCTCGGGATAAACACGCTCCTTCCGCAACCGAGAGCGGCGTTCGCCCCGCACGGCGGCACCCGCAGAGTCCAGGAGTGAGACCAAAGTGGTGTCGACAGCCAGCTGGGCACTGCCATACAAGGACAACCCGCCGGCCATCGACGTGGTCAACCACCAGGTTGAGATCGGGCACCCGGGGCCCGTTCGAGGGCGCACCCGCAACTCTGAGCTCAGGGCTGGTGGGGAGAGCGGTCAGGCCCAAGGGCCCCTCCGCAAGCGCAGAGGAGCCAAGGCGGAGACAGGTCCTCAGAGACGGTTTTGCAGGGGCGCAGTGGCACACCGCTGCCACCCACAGGCTGCGTCACAACATCCTGCCAAGTAGGGGGCTCGCAGCTGGGGTCCGCCAGCACGAGGGCCGCCGCGGCTGCAGCTCGCAAGGAGGGGGCAGGGGTTTCAGGCAGGCTAGAGTTGGGCAGGACCGCACGAAGAAGTGAAGGCGTTGCCTTTCGTCGTGGCCGCGGAGAACGCAGACTGAGACCACAAGCCGAAAAGGCAACCTTCCAACGCCAACTCCTGCGGGGGCAACGGGCCTGCCTGAAGCAGGGTGGACAAGCAGTTTTGAACAGCAAGGTCATGGGGGGCAGCGAATTTTGCTGTGGACTCAGGTGGGAGCAAACGCAGAACACGGAGCCAAGAAGCCGGCACGTCCTCCAAGGTGGGAAAACGAGCGAGGAGCACACGCTGGCTCGTGGCGAGAGCGTCGAGCTGAGCTGCGACAACCGAGCACACGGAGGCCCTGCTGGGCGGAGGCGGCAGGCGATCCGACAAACACAGGATCCTCGCCAACAGCAAGTTCGCAGATTCCAGGTAGCTCCCGGCCAGAAGCGTTCCAGACCCGCGTCTTGCCATGGTTCAGGCGGATGCTCAGACAAGCGATCAAAAAGGGCGGATGCGGTCGGGCCGAGCGACGAAGTAAACATCATCGAGGTAAGCCAACAGCAACTCGTTGGGCTCCAAACAAGTTTGGACTTCCGCACGCGCCAAAGGAATCCGCAGCGGGTGCTGCAATGGTAGCGATTGGGCTCCTAAAGTGAATGCACACGATGATGATGGGGTTCACGAAGTCACTCGGTCAAGTCGGCTGGCGACTGTTTTCCACTCGGTGCGAGGGGTTGTAGGGCTCCTAGCGAATGTAGCCTAGGCTCTGCCTGGGTGAGCAAAAGGGGGCCCCTGAGCCACGTGCCATGCATGTATCAACCATGCTGACCATGCTGAACCCGTTTGCACCAGGACAAAAGGGAAATCAGCTGTTTTCTACGAAAAAGCTGAGTCTAACTCAGGCCATGCGCTCAGGGGTGGTCGGTCCGGATCATGTTCGGGATGGAGAGTGTCATCAATCTGCTGAACGGCAGATTTTCCAACCTTCTTGTTCTTCTTCGCGGCAGTGAAGCTGGGATCATAGGCGATGCACCAGTGCCGTTTGCTGAGGAATTTCTGCAAACCTAGACGGCACTCGGCTCTCTTCTTGGTGAGGGCATCGGCAAGGTCATAGTCGGAGGCTAGCCAACGAAGTTCGCAGCCAAAGTGTTTCAGATTCTCTCTCAGCTGAAGGTTTGACAAACCAAGCAGCGGCGACTCGTTGAGCTCCACCGCATCATAGCCACCTCGGGAATCTGTGCAAAGGATTCCCCGAATAAGCAGAACTTGTTGTTCAGTTGGTGCGATCATGTTGCCGGGCAAGGCCGCCACCGTGAATCTCAGTCCAGAGAAGACGGGCTCTGAAGTTCAGGTCCTCGGCCTCCAGGATGGATTGCACTTCGGCATCGTTGCTGCCGATGGCTTTGCGCCGCAGTTTCCATGTGCGCCATGCGATGACCATCACACGACCATCCAAGCATTCGGGGCCGCTGACCAATGTGATCATGCCGCCAGCGCTGTCCCCTTTCGGACGATTGCAGTGTGCCTGGTTGCCCATTAAGATGAAGACCAGGTCTGACCAGTGCTCCGCAGTGGGTACCTTGTGGAACTCGAGGTTGTAGGACTCACGCCTGACCTCGCCAATCATTTGCTGAATCTCGCGGGCGGTCTCCAACGTGCCATTTGTGACCACTTCCGTGAGCAGAAAATTCGCAGATTTGTGGCTGTGTCTGCACCTCTAACCACTGCATTGCACCAAGGGAGGTGCGGCATGCTCCAACTTCATAGGGAGACAGGGGCCCATTTTGCCGTAGGCGATCAGGTGAAATGGCAACATCGGGAATGGTCTTGATGTAGGCGTCCTGGCTGACGGAGATCTTGAAGGTGCCGTCATCGGCGCTCATGGTCTCCACATGGGTGCCGGCGTGCCTGTAGGAACGCATCTGGACGGTTCCCCACTTGTAGGCTTGATCAACCTTGTGCTTGATGTCGAGCCATTCGTTGGAGTTCCGGTCCCCAATCCGGTGAAAATTATTTACGTGGCCCGGCCCTATTCATATCAATGAGGTGTGGGAAGCGACCGGTGCTCTCCTTCTCGAACTGTGAGATCTCCAAGGGCAGGTACAGCTCCTAGGCCAACCAAAGTCTTGTGCAGGTCTAGCCATAGGCGAAGGATCTTGAGTTAGAATCTTGATCGCTGCTTCAATCCGTAAGGGAACATGCAACGACCGACGAAGGGTGCGCTCGCTCTTTTTCTTTATAAGGCGTTGCTTGGAAGTTAAGGCTCGGGGGTGCAGGGAAAAAGACAGTGCGTGTCCTTTCCCCGTGTCTGCACCCCCCTGCGGAACCTTCTCAAATGCCCCCGCGGTCAACACGTGTTCGACCAAGCGCCAGGTGTATTACCTGTGAGGCGTTAAACAATCGAAGGCATTGGTTGCTGTAGGATGCTCTGCGGGCAACCTACTGGTGTGCATGCGGCACACAATGCAAGGCTGAGGCATGCCGAGGCAGTGACTGCATGCGGCGGCATGCGATCGCGGTAGCGGCACACACTGCAAGGCTGGGACCTGCCGAGGCAGTGACTGCATGCGGCGGCACGCGAGCGCGGTGCCTAAGGCACCGCCATGCGCTGGTCTCTGGGGCACCAGCTGCGGCTGGGCCCTGGAGGATTTACCTGAGCTGTGACAGGGTGGGTGGGAGGGCGCAAAAAAGAGGGTTAAACCCTAAAGCATGACCCTTAGGTGGCTTGAAGCAGGAAAACGGCCACGCGTCCGAAGATTCAATCAAGATTAAATGCACCCCCCTGCGGAGCCTTCTCAAATGTTCCAAGCAAACGGCCTAAACTATTGCCCCCTCTTCAGAGCGTTTGCGATGCACTCCTATGCTCCGGCCGCCACGGTGCGTCGGGCGGATGCAATGACAGCGCGGATTTATGGGGCCAGACATCATGCGGGCGAAATCGAAAGCGAGCATGCGGCTTGCTGTCAAACGCGGAAGTATTTCCGCGGCTAAGCTGATCAGCCCACACGTTGTGCTCGCCTGGATGTGCGAGGCTAGCACTGACCATTTGTGCTTGTAAGCCCACGCTGCGACGAGTTGCACAAAAATTTGCAAAGGCCATGCCGTAGTGAACAGTTTGTTCTCGGATGCAGTATTATCCGTACCGGACGGCATGCAGAGTGGCCCAAATGAGCAGCCCCAGGACTTGCTCCAAAAGCTTTCTTTTGATTCTTTTTGAACGGAGCAGGGCATGCAGCTGCTCCTCTCTCCTTCAGTTTCAGAGTTTTAAGCGGTGTGAGTTCGATGGTTTCCAGGAGGAAATTAATCGACCATCCGCACCAAGTCAAGCAGTTCTGGAATTGCACTTTTTTTCCAGGAAATTGGCGCACTGATGGCTGCAAAGAAAATGACTATTAGAGCAAGTTGTTGGTGCGCGTCCGGGCGGCGCAAAGCGGCTAAAAGGTCGTCCACGAACAACCAAGCTTTGTGTGGGTGTGCTGATAACACCCCGTGTGGCAGCCTGAGTAAGAATGCTCCAGTGCGTTGCCACCAGTATGCGGAGAACCGGGCTCCGAAGTGGCACACTCGGTACTGGTACAGAGTGTCTGCAAAACGGAAGAGTGACAAGCCGTGTTCGCTCGGGTGCGCCTGAATTTGCTTGTGCGCAGCCTTAAAGTCAAAGCTAGCGCCTATGAAGGAGGCATGCGTGTCTCCCGGCATGAATGCGAGGCGAACATCGGATGCCATTGGCAAACTGACGCGCTCCGGGATATTGCATTTGGGGTTCACCCCGCACATGGCGCTGTCCAGCACCAGGCGTGGCTCTTTTCCTTCTGCATGCACGACGTTGAGTTTACCCACTGCAATGCCCTTGCGCCAATGCTGTCAGGCTTGCTCGACGGACATGTCCGTGCGGACGACTTACCCGTTTGAAATTTCTTTTTCTAACAGGGCGGACACTGTATCGGGCTCCGCTTCGGCGGCCTTCCAGTTGCCTACGCATTCTGTGAGCTCGTGAGGCAAGTCTGCATTTTCTTTGGGCGGCCACTGCATGCTCCGCGACAATTCTGAGAGTGCACCTGTGGGGACCCCTTCTGCGAGCAATGGAAGGAGTCTGATGTCTGGGTCCTCTGACGCGGAGGCCAATGCATGCAAGAGTGACAGCCGATAAGCTGGCCCTGGTCGGGGCATGCCGACCGCCCCAAAAGCCATGAGCGCTGCCTCCTCGGACTCCTGGATTGATAAAGGAGGCTCTGGCGTGTCGGCTTGGACGTGGGCCAGAATTTTTGGGATCAGCTGGTGTTCCCTGGCCCATTGCAACCACGCCTGCGCCACCCGTGTGAGTGGATGGGTGTGAGGCACTGAGTGGTCTGCTGT